ATAACTTAATTGAATATGTATTTAGTTTAATATAATTATATTTAGTTGTATCAAAATGTGAAAATCCAGTTGATTTAAGTGCATCATTATTTGATTCATTATTATCATCAAATATATCTATAAATTCTAATATATATAAAGATAAAATAATAAATCTTGATGGTTTTGATATAAAAAGTATTGAATGGAATACATTTATGAATTTAAATAAACCAGTTCGAACAATAATACTTTCATCAAATTGTTTATCTTATTTACCAAATAAAATTTTTGAAGAATTTAGTAAAAATTTAATTAATCTTAATTTACAAAAAAATGAATTTAATAGTTTAAATAATAATTATTTTTTACGTTATCTTGAAGAATTACGTTTACTTGATTTAAGTAAAAATAAAATCAATGAAATATTTAAAGAAGATTTTAATGGTCTAAAACGTTTAAATACATTAATATTACGTGAAAATAAAATTTCAAAATTATCATCAAATTTATTTATAAATTGTCGAAAAGTTCGAACACTTGATTTATCTGATAATAATATATCAATTATTGATTCAAATACATTTAATTTATTAAATAAATTAAAAATACTTTTATTAAATAATAATCCATTAAGAGAATATTTATTAACAAATTATTTATTAAAACCATTAATAAATCTTGAATATATTGATCTTGAAAATACTCAACTTAAAAATCTTTTACCTTTTTTATTTATTTCAAATAAAAAATTAAAATCAATTAAATTAAGACGAAATTTTTTTCAAAATCAAATTTATTCAAATTCAAATTCAACATTAACAAAAACATTTTGTGGTGCTAATTCATTAATTGAAATTGATCTTGTTAATACAAATATAAATACACTTGATATATGTAGTTATCATCAAATTCCAACATTACGTCGTCTTTATTTAATGAATAATCCACTTGATTGTACATGTGATTTATTTTATTTAAAATATGGAGATATTTATCGACTTTTATTTGTTGATTCAAATGATAATTATCAAACAAATATTAATATTGATATTTATCTTAATCGTTGGATATCAAGACCTGAACTTCGTCGACATTTAGAAAATTCTTTTTTACGTGGAGATATTCATCGTTTACCTATTGATTTATCTTTATTTGCTCGTTGTCAAACACCAATAGAATGGAATGGTTATGAACTTTATAATATTACTGGAATTTATAATCAATGTAAATATAGATGGTTTCATATTGAACAACAATGTAATAATTATTGTCTTATTAATAATCATATTGAACTTTATCATACAAATATTAAGTCGATTTCATCAACATTTATTCAATATAAACTTTTTTTTATTGGATTAATCATTTTTATTTATTTATAATTATATCTTTTTGTAACCGGTGATATTTGATGTAGTTTGAATAAATATTCTCTTGTACATAAAATAGAACCTTTTTTCTATTCATATATCAAACATTTTATCATGATCATCAATGTTTGTTTTAGTCTTTTTCAATAAATTTTTAAATCTTGTCGACTGTATGTCACAACGTTGATTGACATCCTAGTCAATTTTCCCAGGATGTCCCAATAGATTGTGAAATCCTTGGAGATTTCTTTAGAGAGAGAAAGTAGACTAGGGACATATAATAAAACCTATCTAATACGAACACTGCCGAAAACAGACGAAAATCGTTGAGTATAACAGGGCGATCTTGTTATTATATTCAATAGTATTTCTATTATATCTAATAGTTTACATGATTCTAATCAAATCTACATAAAATCTAGTTAGAGAACTTTAAAAAAGTCACGAATAGATCGGTGTGTAGAAACATCTGTGTTTAACTAAGTTCTATTTTATTCTTGATAAAGATCATTGGGAGATATGAGATATAATAGACAATTGTTGCCCAGTTATTTCAAAAGATGATGAAATTTGTTTGTATAGTTTTCTTCTCTCTCTGTCTCAATTTCGTTTTTATTCACTTACAAGGTCGTAGAAAGTGAATCAAACATATCAGACAAAGAATTGTGGCTCACTTTATATAGACTAAATCAATTGAAAAATCAATGTTTTTCATGAATTTTTAATTGATTTTAATCTGATTTTACCCCTAAATTTTTTACATGGGTAGTGCTGATTAAACTAAAAAAAGTTTTATGATGATCGGATAGATTTTTAAAAAAGATTTGATACCAAATCCGTAGTGAACTTTGAATGTGTGCGTGAATGATATATGAAAGAAATTACAAAAAGGTATTCATACTCCATCAATAACCGTTATACAAAGATTCCGTTTATAATTACACGTCATATTCAAAGCAGTTTAAATCTAGGACAAATAGCAACTGATTATTTTCGTTATATCACGCCATCTGAATGAAGATCTTGATTTCGCAACCAGTGCAGTTAATGTAATAGAATTTGAATTTAGAAGATTATTGCTATTTTATTTATTATAGGTTCATTCAACGTAAAAGGTTTTAAATCTATCATCACTTCCATCAATGAGCTTTATTTCCAAACCGCTCGTTGGCTATGAACATGCATAAAAAGTGGCCACATATGAACTCATGCGTAGCCAC